ATCTGCAAACTCCGTTCCAACGGTTAGGTGATGTTCCGCCATAATGTGCGCGGAGAAGTAGGGAGATAGGGGAGCGGCAGTGAGGTAAAGTGATGTAATTATGGTGTGCGCAACGATTCTTCGTGTATATTATTTCTAGGCTAAAGACAGGGGCATTTGGTCATGTATAAAAGTACAGCAGTATTTTTGTCTTTTTCGGCATTTGTCAGGGGTATTAAGATACTTTTCCCTTATATATCCTGATATAAAAGGCTTTCAATCAAGGGGTTGGAGTAGCCAGGTGATTTAGTGAGCTGTCTATGATCTAGCCTCATTTTAATTGGATTCCTGGAAATACAAATAGGAGGTGGATGCACTATCCAGACACCCAATTTCGATCACAGAGCTGCTTCATCATGTTAGAAAGATCTTCTACATACAACAGCAAATCGTGAGATTGTAGCAACAATTGAATCCACGACACATATTATAGAAGAATGTAAAAGAAGTTATCTAAAGTTTAGACTAACAAGTAAATTACCTCATGTAAGATATTACTGAATGAATAACATCTCCATAGTACAACATCATCCAAAGACTTTTGTACTATCAGACCAAAGGATAGGAGCATCCCAGACATCCCAGGCTAGTACTTCCTGACAAGGTTAACATCGATAACCGTGGTATCGATGACAATAGCGATGCTTTGGTAACTGGACATCCAGGCTACTACAAGACATACATGCCGTACAAATGACGTATCGTTGGCCTAACGCTTCTAATTACACACAGCTTCATGTTAGCGAATGTAAGATGCATCATTGTAATAAGGCCAGACCGATTTTGGCCTCTGGTGTTTTCAGTATCCACGATAATCCATCCGGAAAAAGGATCGATATATCAATGCATTTGTTGGTTTCTCTACAAAAAAGACAAGTGATGGAAATGATGCAATCATGGCGAGCGTTACAATCAACAAAAAGCGCAATTTAAAAAAAAAACAGCAGCGTCAGCGATAAATATTTTAGATGTCACGAAACGCTATGGCTTACCCAGGAAAATTAATTTTCTATCGCAATTTAAAGTTCCCGTCAAGAATATGGACTTCGGTGACCTTGATTTTGAAGACGCAAAACAATCTTTCAACCGCGTACCGTCCCCAAACCGATGGATAGACTGAGCGTGCAAATCGCTTTATCTAAGACTATCGTTCAGAAGTTGTATTCAAACCTCAAACGGACAGGAATGAGTACCATTTAACAGAGTTTGCATAAAGTCGTAGAGTCCATTCATCAATTGGAATATCACCATTTGGAGAAGATCTTGATTTTGCTCCCATATATGCCAGACAACGTTGCAGCTGATCCACCCCTCAACATAATGATCAAGATAGCTCGATAATGTTTACTACAGCAAGAACACTTTTGAAGAAGGCAAAAGACGCAATTAGTGCAGCTCGAGAACGTATGAAGTCATACTTCGACAAGAATCGAATGCGGCGAATGTTTGAGGTACGCGATCTGGTACTACTTGATGGTAAATCTGAAGTTTTGCCATGTAGGTTCCTTTAAAGAAAACTAGTTGGCTCCCAGATTCATTTGTCCATTTGTCCATATTCTATCGTCGAAAAGGTCCATTTAGATTTGTTTAGAATCACCATGTCCAATTATCTTTGTATCCATTCCGTTTTTCACACGTCACTACGGAACCGCATTAAAACATTCTCATCGTGAATTACAAACAGCCGAAATTCTTCTCGAACATGACATAACTGATCGACAACTCTTCCACGCGGTGATCTGACATTTCAAATGTCGTGCAAAGGACAATTACAAGATCGATTGTATGGTAAAAATCTGGACCAGACGACCTAGAAACCCTTTGAAGCATTACAGCAAATGCCAGGATAAATCAATGATTACTGGAACACCAGAGAAATTCATCTTCTCAGACAAATAGGTCATGTGATGAGCCAATATCCCCTTCGGTTCATCGTATCTGATTGCAGCTAAAACACGTATATCTATTTTTATTATGATCGAAGTGACGTTGAAGTGGCGCTCAAGAGCCAGTATAATTCAGATGTTACGAACCAGTGGAAAGTCTGCTGTTGCTAACCAGTAGAAAAACAGTTGTTACAAGCCAGTAGAGAACCTAGTGGAATCTAGTAATAGAGAGACTTACAGATATTAACTTGGTTTGCGAACTTAGGATCTCTGCTCAATTCACTTCGTATTTGCCATCTAGTACAATAATCTTCTTCATCTTCGGATTCATTAAACAACCGTGTTTTCAGGATCTAAAATATCGCACATCAGTGACAAATAAGGTATACCACGGTTCAATACGGACATATGACACTATCTGGATTATGCAATGAAGCAATGCAGACAGCAGTAAAAGCCCAAAACATTCCCGCAATCAAGCCGTAGTATGCGACAATCAAGCTGGAGTATATGACGTAGTTGAGTAGATATGACTCGGTCCGTTGCCTTCGTGAAGCATAATAGCGACTTGTTGACGAGTGAGGCATTGATCGACTTTGAATTTATTGCTGTCGATAGCTTCGCAAACAAATGGTTCTTGATGTTAATATGCATGTTCCGTTAGTTTATGAACGCATGGTACATTGTCTTAAACACAAATTGGTCATCAACCTAGATCAGGATATACCTTTCTTTCCGTACGGCCTAATTCTCCAATTATAAAAGAATCGCATTAGAGTATTTAGTAGCCATTGGTGCAGCAACACATACGGCCTCCATGGCTGATAGAGTCATGATCGGTTTCCTCGTCGAGAACATTCCCTGTTGCCATTCTGTTAATCGTATATAATATCAGCACTCAATAACTTCGCTTTCGTATAGTCACCAACCCCACTAGTTTTGGAGTAAAAGTCTGGAAGTAGATGGAAGGTGCAGATGTTAACATACTCTCAAAAGGCACTGAGCTTGTAGTTCCTTGTAATTATGTGAAGATACGCGTGACACTGTTTCAATGAGTAATAAATAATATCGCTATGAAACGTACAAAACAATTCTTAGCCGCGGCAAGATTGAGGCGAGGTTAGTTCGGTATCCAAAGCAAGCTAATTATTGCCTCGGTAATAACAATTTTGATGAGCGTTTGAACCTGTGTTTTGACCAAGCCGTAATTTGTATCTATTGGAGCTAGTGAAAGTTTGAACGTGTACATTAAAAAGTTATCAAGTAGGTCCATTGTGTTATGCTGTCGACAAAATTGCGCCTTTAATGATATAATCAATTCTTATTTGAAGACATTTACGACCACTACCGATATCTTTGACTTTAAACATTTTGTGGACATGGCGTATCACCTTGTCGAGTAGATCGGTGTTTTGCATCACCACAAGAATATCATTTTAATACATTACTAAGACGAATATGTTGTTATTGTGCCGCAGAATATTGAGGCACAGATCTACGCGACAGCGTTGAAATCCTTGCACTTGTAAAAATGATCAAATAAGGTTATTACACAACTTTCCACTCTGCTTTCAGCCGACATAGTCACTTGTGAAAGAGATGCAGTCGAAATTTCTTCTCGGTCTTCGCTTTTACAGCAGGATTAAGGTATATTTGCTTGTCCAGCGTGGATCTAAAGTACGCGTCCGCAAGTCACTATCAAAGCCCAAATTTACAGCACACAGAATGCATCACAATGCATCCTATTTTGGAACGTGTAGTACAGGTGAGAACGTGTACTCGAAGTTTATATCAAATATATGTTTGGGTCCACGAGCGACAAAGTGACCCCCAAATCGTTCAAGCCCTCTTTGCTGCCAAAATTGATGACGAAAAGTCAATCGGAGGGAACAATGTTGGCTGCTTTCGGTGACATCATGAGCTATCTCGTTTCTTTGAGAGAAGTCCTACAATCCATTTAGCCATTTGCAGCACTATGTCGTTTCCAGTATTCCGTGCGCTTGACTTTAAGACTGAGCGTGGTTCTTCATGATTGTAACACGACACACGGCTCTGTCGAAAAATTAAGTCGTCAATACTAAATATGGGTCGGAGTCGAATCGGTAGTTGCACAAGTTGCAGCTGTAACGCAATGCAATCGGCACTGCATCTCCTTAAATTTCTCACTATTCATGTCTATGTGGTGCGAGCTTGGTATGCAAGCAATATTAGTCGCTGGAGATAGGGTTCGACTCCGCATCGCATTGTCGTCGGATGATTCAGTAACTGCTTGGTGTGGAAAGTTGACCTCTCCATCGAAGTGCGAAGACTGCAACGAACTTTCAAATTCACAATGAGCTAGGACAGTGAGCGATGTCCATGGATCGACTTCTGCAGATAAGTTTTCGGGCTGTTGATAACGCTGTGGTAACTATAGACGCGAGAGGCACGAGTTCGGATATGGTCTTCATGATACTATTACCTGAAAGGCTTTGGCTAGTACCTTCGAAGTTAAGATGCAGGATGGTGACTCAAGTGATCCGAGAGCTTGTTTCAGACCCTGGCACGAGCGGTACGTGTGGCAAAACCTAAGCAGTGAAGCAGACGGTAAACGACCCAGAGGAATGGTAAATCAAGATGAGTGCAAGTCTGACTCGTTGACATTTTTTCATCCGATATGGGTTTTGGCAGCCGGCACTTGATCCGTGACTCCGTAATTGTAGGAAACACTTGTTTATCGGAAAGAAGCAGCTTTTGATCTATCGGACCTGTACTGCGAGTATGACATCCTAGAAGCTGGACATGCCTTTCTCTTGGGTAGCATTGGCAGACCAGTGACTGTGACATCAAGCATCCGATCGGCAGGGTAAATGCCCAATTCATGTGAACACAACGACAACATCCAGCGTTGGCCACACAATGCGTTGCGGATAAGGGTGCCGGAACGAAATGGTGCAAATGAAAGCTGACATTTGCGCGACTGCCAAGTCTTATCGTCACGTAGAGCACGCAGCTATGACATTGTGTGATAGCTCAACGTTTTAATCCAATTTTGACAATTGGCACACCCAGGTATTCACACCACGCATTGCCATGTTAGTCCCGTCCTTCCTGGATGACGGCCAGTGAATGCAACTGCTCCGACGTCAGCACGCTCGGATTTTTCTTACAATAGTCCACAAAGCTCTGCAACTTTGCCTTGCTCTCAACTGGGCATAACTTTATCGCAGTCTGCACTTTCGGGTGCGTCAAAATTTTTGTCAGCGCCGCCGAGAACTTTGGCGAGAACGGCGGCGCAATTCGCGCGAACAGCATCGAAATGAAATTCCGGAGCAATGCCTGGTCGAGTTCCAACGTGTTGGCATACACGAACTCCAACACTGGCAGCACGTAACCACTCGTAATCATGAATACCATGCACCGAAGGGTTTCCCGCTTCAGCTCCAGTGCCTTCACCGGATTATTCTCAGGATGTAACCGAAGCAATGTCACAAGCACACTAAAGGAAATTGGCCATTGTGCAACGTGGAGCTTAATGGATGCCTTTAGTATCCGGAGTAAGCTGGGGAAGCATATGTGCAAAGGCGTGCTACTGAAGAACCCGGGCGACGTCAGGATTACTTCCAGCCAGTGTAACACGCCCATTGACACAACAGGCACGGACATCACCGAGATTAGCTTGTCCACCACTCCCGACTGGTTCATCTGTCAAGCGCATACATGTTGATTATCAGCTTCGATCAAATGACCAGAGTCGCAGATGCCCGCACAATTGTACAAGAAACTTCACAGAACTTACATTATATCCAAGGGTGTGGTCAGACTTGCATATCGCTGAGGCTTCAACGAGCGCTTTCTTCGTTAAATCAAGGCAGGCATCATCGACTTCTACATGATCAGATGGTTCCTTGACTTCAGTTTGCAGTAAGCTCCGTTCGTCTCTCGTAGATGCTGCATATGCTACGAGGAACACACACTTTTGCACAAATGCCGGTGAAGTCAAGACGGACGGGTTGAACAGTCGATCAAGCAAACTTGATAGAACCTAAAGAAAAACGTAGCAACGTCAGCAACAAGTCACAAGCCAACGCATCTTCGAATGCAGGAACAACGAAGAAATCCTACCATAGGGTCTCGAAGATGGGCAACCGGAGGCGGAGTATCGGACGTCTGGTACTCCTTTACCAGAGCCTCTGCACTCAGTTCCGAGCATTTCTTCGTCTTGATGATCGACAAGATCGCGTCACAAAACTTTGGGTTTGCCTCGTAAATGTATCGACGGCGCAAGATGTGGAACGGAACACTTTTTTCTCCAAACCTGCTATTCGCAGTCTTTTGAAGCTCAGTACGCACACGATTTAGCTTGAAGCGCACCACACGAATACGTGAGTACTCTGGACTCTCAGCATTGACACCCTTCTGTATTGAAAACAGCTTGTCATCCATAGAGCACAGAAGCTCCTGAGCGTAAACATACGAGTGCGAAGACTGGCAGCAAATCTTATTTAGGGCAGCGATATCTTCCGCCACCTCCTCTTCGTCGGCAAATGGAATCTGTCGAAAGAGTTGGTCGACGCAGCGCTTAGTACACTCTTGCTACCAACATTTACGAAATATCTTCTCAATAACTTACCCGACTGAGCGCATCCACTAGCACGCCGCTAAACACTGGAAAAAATGCGTTCGCACTCGTAATTGACGCGATTTCTTTGTGATGGCCTGCTTCCGAAATTCGTCGAATTGCATACTGCAGTAAGGTACAAGTCTGGAACATAACGAGCAAAGTGGTAACATCAGCGGTTGTAGTCTACAAGAAATCATCTCACCAAATTCGTATCACCTTGTGTGTTTCCGCTAGTTCAATGAGCATCAGCCTCCACTTGCGATCGTTCAGCATCTGCGTCAACCACTCGGGTTCGACTACTGACCCACTTAGCACGTTTGACACGAGCTTCGGGTCGTAATTCTCGTTCATCACGTCTTTCAAGTGACTGTACAAGATCTCCTCGGCTGGATCCCATGATGCACCCCTATGCGCAACTACTGCCCCTTCATTAACATCGAACGTCATCTTGTTCTCTAGCGCTGTCGTCGGAACAGGCAGCGTGTCCAACCAGGACGCCACGAGCCCGATCATCTGCGCATGACCCCGGTACGACGACGATAGCTTTTCCACTAAAATCTCAGGTCCATTCGACTCTGTATGAGCTCTTAAAAAGCTGTTGATCACCGACAGCACGTTGACTTCCATTATAGCATCTGTCTTGGACAGCTCCTGCAGCAATCTCGTAGCTTCCTTGCCATCTTCCGTATCCTTTTCCTCAATGTCGTTGACCCGATCAGTATCCACCTCTTCGTCATCACAAATAATAAGCCGCTCCTCGAGCTGTCGACGTCGGCTCTGTTGACCTTCAACAGCCACTGGCTCTACTTTTTCTCGCTTGGACTTTCTCTTTCTCTTTTTCAAGTGCGGTGTCGCCTCGACACTCTTACCAGCGTCCACACTGTGCCCCGGATTCGTCCGGCCTCCGCTCGTAGTGGCGTTCTCTTCTGCATCTATTAGCAACGTCTTGCTATCGATCATCCCGTTGTCCGTTTGAGCACCTGCGACCTCGCTGTCGTTCTTCTTGCTCTTGTGAGTGCGGTGTTTCTCATGCCGCTTCTCTTTCACTGCAGCAGCTGCTGTATACGACTTGATCTTCACACCTTCTGGCCGCTGCCACTGTGTCTTCCGGATCGTGCGATTGTAGTAGTACGCACGCGCGTTCTTGGGGTCCCAGAGCTCCTCCCACTCGCCAGCAGCTACTGAAGCTGTCGACGATGTCACCGCAGCTGCAGCAGAAGCGCCAGTCTCTTCTTCATCGGCGCTCTCCGGTTTCTCCCATGCGCTCTGCTTCGTGCTGCGGTTGTAGTAGTACGTCCGACCCTCTTTCGTCACGTGCGTGCTCCAAGCACTCGGCATAATGCTAGCGTCTGACCCGACGTCTTGATTGCCCCACGTGACGCTTTTTGTCGTCGTCTTTTCAACGAATCAACGACGAGACTCGCCCACCGCTTGTTTCGTGTGAACATTATGTGCAGATTGGGTTGTGGTGCGCCGTCACACCACATATCATTGATGATCTGTGTGCGTTTACACCAAAAACAGCGCCATGTCGAGCGACGACGACGACAAGGACTCGAAGAAGCTGCACAGCGGCTATCATGGCTGGATGAAGACGATCGCCAAGACGTCGCAGGTCGTACTCTTGTCTCTCTCTCTACCTATGTCTCTCCCTCCCTCTCTCTCTCTCTTTGGTTGTGTATCTCCCTCTTGCTGTGTCACTTGACTGTAACTACTGCGGGTGCTGAAGTTGAGACGACGTTGCGGTGTGTATTGATTTGATTGCAGGACTGTACTCCCGTTCGGATTGAGGATTCTGCTGTCGTGGTGGAGGTCGATCTTCCCAGTGACTCGAGGTCTGCTTGGAACAGTGCAGGCACTTGGTACGTCCCAGCACTGTGCAAGGACGTGGTGACCAAGTGTTGCCATGTGAATACAAGGGAACGAGTGCTGTAGTTGCTGACTGTGTGGGTCCTTTTGAATGTATAGGGAAGAACGGGACAAGTCTGAGTGGGCGCGAGAGCGTCTAAAACACCACATTTTGACGTCCTTTAGCTTTGATAATGAAGCAGAGGGACTGAGTGTCAAGGCCACTTCGATTGTGCGCTGTGATGGGGAAGCTAAGGTACGTACGTGGCGGTCGAGTACCGTCTCTTGACGCTCGTTTGTGTGGGCTCACAAGCAGCGGTCGATTGCTGCGGGCAGGTGGTGTTTAGTCGTGGCAAGAAACGCTGCGGCTACGACCTGTCGGTCAAGTTTGCGTGGGCGAGCGGTGACGTCTCGGGCCACGTCGAGCTTCATGACTTTGACGACACGAGCGCCGACGAGTTTGAGATCGTCGTCACGGCGGATGGTAGCAGTCAGTCTGAAGTCGCTGCAAAGAAGGCTGTGATTGACAAGGAACCGGAGCTGCGCAAACTACTCGCGCTGTGGAAGGAAGAGCTACTGCAGCAATAGAGCACAAGAGAATGCGTTTGTGTACGCGTGCTTCAGATGTGCGCATTGCACGACCCCAGGCTACCCATCGTCTGCGGTGTGGGTTTGACTTGTTGACGAGAGAGTGGTTCATCAGATTTGTCCCCAGTAGTCATCGAGTCCAGTGCACGAAGAGAGTGCGCAATGCCATTTGTCACATCAGTGATCTCTTTGCTTCAGTGTCGACAATATGCACGTGGCTGAAACTGGTCGAGCATTGACTGCTCGACCTGTACTTGAGTCCACTCATCGACGCACTACTCGAGCTAAATGAGTACATGGAAAACGTAGGTGGGATGAGAGTAAGTTTTGAGGCAATTGACTCGATGAGACGGTGTTAGTAGCCCTTCGTCATATTGTTTGCAACACAAGTGCGATCGCTACGTCTTCTAGTGATGCATCGCCTTGAGAACACGCGGAGCCGGGCGGTCAAACAGATCGGGGGCCGAGCGGCCATCGTAGAACTTCAACAGCTTGCGTGCCTCGTCGACAACGGCGTCCGGGTTAAACCCGAACTGCTTTTTCAGCTGTGCGATCGTAGCCGACGTACCAAAGCGGTCGAGACCGAACTGCGAGTGCGAGTACGTGGACCAGCCAAAGGTGGCGGCAGCTTCCACGCTCATCGAAGGAATGCCCTCACCGAAGACCTCCTTCTTGTACTCGATCGGCTGCTCGTCAAACAGGTCACGGCATGGCATTGACACGATGCGCACTTTGTAACCGGTCAGCTGCTTCGCAGCGTCGATCGAGAGCGACACCTCTGACCCCGAGGCGACCAGGACCAGGTCTGGTTCGCTCTCAAGTGACTCCACCTCGGCTCCGTTTGCTACGTTGGCCACAACGTAAGCACCTTTGGTGACAGCCTCAGCAGTCGAGTTGGCCAGGTTCGGTAGACCTTGACGGGTGAGCGCGAGCACCGACGTCTTGTGTTGGTTCTCAACGGCAGCAATGTAGGCACCCACGGTCTCGTTACCGTCTGCGGGACGGTAGACGTACATGTTCGGCATGGCGCGCAATGACGCGTTCATCTCGATTGGCTGATGAGTCGGACCGTCCTCACCCAAGAAGATCGAGTCGTGGGTAGCGACGTAGATCACACCGAAGCGTGATAAAGCGCTCAAGCGCACAGCACCAAGAGCGTAGCCAATGAAGTTGTAAAAGGTCGCGCAAAACGGACGCAAACCGCCATGTGCGAAGATACCGTTCGAGATGGCAGCCATACCGTGCTCTCGCACACCATAGCGAATGTAGCGGCCAATGGGAGTATCCTTCTGGAAGTCGCCTGACATGGACAGGAGCGTCAAGTTGGACGGGGTCAAATCCGCCGAGCCACCGACAAGTTCCGGCAGAGCTGTAGCGACGGCGTTCAGTGCAATCTCCGAATACTGGCGAGTGGCCTTAGCGGCGTCGTCAGGCGTGTACTTGGGCATGTCCTTCTTCCAGTCCTTCGGCAGCTTGCCTTCCATGCGGCGCGTAAATTCCGCAGCGTCCTTCGGGTGCGCCTCAGCATACTTCGCAAACAGCTCGTTCCACTGGTTCTCGAGGTCGGCGCCCGCCTCAGTCTTGTCATAAAATTTCTTAACCTGTTCCGGGACAAAGAACGACTCGGTTCCTTTGAGACCAAACTTCTCTTTCGTTGCGGCCAAATCCTCTGGTTTCAATGGAGCGCCGTGCACCGAGTGCGTGTTCTCGATATTCGAGCCAAACCCAATCGTCGTGTGGATTTTAATCAGCGACGGCTTGTCCGTCACCGCTTTAGCCGCTTCCACAGCCTTCTCGATTGCAGCGTGGTCAAAGTTGCCCTCCTCTACAGACTGCACGTGCCAGCCGTACGCTTCATAGCGCTGCTGTACGTCTTCCGTGAACGACAGACTCGTGCTGCCGTCAATGGTAATCCGGTTGTCGTCGTACAGCACGATCAGCTTCCCAAGTCCAAGGTGGCCCGCGAGCGACGAGGTCTCAGACGACACGCCTTCCTGTAGGCAGCCGTCGCCACAAATGACGTACGTAAAGTGGTCGACAATGTCCAGTCCGTCCTTGTTAAACTCGGCAGCCAGGTGCTTCTCGGCGATCGCGAGCCCCACGGCATTGGAAATGCCTTGACCCAATGGACCCGTCGACACCTCGACACCAGGCGTGCAAAAGTTCTCCGGGTGCCCCGGGGCCTTGGATCCAATCTGGCGGAACTGCTTGAGGTCGTCAATGGACAGGTCGTAGCCTGTGAGGTGCAGCATACTGTACTGCAGTGCACAGGCGTGGCCGTTCGACAGAACGAAGCGATCGCGGTTCGTCCACTTGGGGTTCTTCGGGTTGAACTTCATCGTCTTGCCAAAGAGCACGTGGGCCATGGGGGCGCACCCCATTGGAGCGCCAGGGTGGCCAGACTTGCCCGCGCTTGGCTGGTCGGCCGAGAGCATGCGGATCGTGTTGATGCAGAGCTCTTCGCCAATGCGAGGCTTCTTGTCGACGTGGTCCGACATGGCTACAAAAGAGGAGGAGGAAGAGGAGTGGAGGGATGGGAGGGGATGAAGATACGGGCGACTCTGCCGCTCGACGCGAATCTGGAAATGATGTACGCCCGCGATCCAAGTGTCGGGACGTCAGTCGTGTGATTGGTTGATTGAAATTCTGGCCAATGAGAAGACGAGCGGATACTTACTCGAAAGCGAGGACGCCCACGCATCTCAGGAAAATGCTGGTTGGTCGCGAGGATCAGATTGCTACTAACATTTCGTGGCATGCTGCCAACTGCCACTCACTCGTACATATCGACATTGTGGATCCAAATGTGACAATTGCAGCACTTGTTCGTCGATTTGTCTCTTATTAATTTTCGCAGTTGCAATAACTATCTCGTCCTTGCTTTCTCGATCAAAGTCTCGATGCGATACCGCTGAGTAGGGTATATAAAAGGTGACAATCAAGTCCTAACATTTGTGTCAGTCATCCTGTACAAGTCAAGCTCCACAGTCGTACCAAAGATGCCGCTTGAAAAGCACACTTATGCTTTGTTCGACAATCGGTACGTCGCTCCATACGACCGAACCTAGTGCAACTGCAACAACACACTCGACTGATGTCACGTGCCTCTGTATCCTCACATTATAGAACGCTGCACGTGGGTTACTACACAGACGTGAAGAATTGCGCCACCCTGCGACAGGACCTTTTGGACAAGAAGCTGGATGTCGCGCTACTCAATGCTCATCTGGTCCAGTCACTCCTAGACGCAACGCTCAGCTACACTGCCGTACTGACTACGTACTGATTTGTGTTTGATGGACGTGCATTTATGACAGATCGCTGGACCTTTCCAGATCCATGCAGCTGCGTCGCGAGTGTTTCTCTGCGACGCGTCCAGCCGCCTGACGACGCGCAGTCTGCACTCTGAGCTGGTCTTTAATATGTCTGGATCACGCAACGTGTCCGAATCTTTCAAGAGATTCGGTGTCAAAGAGGACATGACGTCGCTCGTAGTGTGCGTGATTGATGCGGACGAAGAGATACTAAAGCAGGTGGAAGCACTGGTACAAGGCATGCAGGTGCCATTCGAAGAACTGGGCACGCACCTGACGGACGACGATGTGAACCTCATTAAGAAAGTTTACAAGATTTCTGAGCAGGAACTGACGCAGTCGTCTCTTACTGATGCAGTAACATGTCGAATCGCGACCAAGAGCTGTAGCAAGTAACTCGAGATGGAATGAGCGGAGAAAAGTCTGGCAGGGAACGCAACCAAATGAGCTGATCATCTTGTTGTACGAGTCAATGTCACTGTAGCTTGTACAGCTTCTTCAGGTCTGCCACTGCATGCTCTTGGATATCGTTGCCTATCTCTGCTTCCAAATGCCGGATCACCCATACCATGTCTTCTTTTTCGTTACCAGACAAAAACATGACCGTCATGTCGAAGCGCGTCACTGTCGTCAGCTTACTAGCAAATGCGAGCACAAACGATGCGGCGTCAGTGTGCGCTAACGAGCTCTTCGCTGATGAAGACAGCAAGATATGACGAAAGACGTGAAAGATTTCACACAAAACGTCAGACTCGATCGCAGTCTTGAAGACGCTGCAAAGTGTTGCGGGCTCAATCATGCACAGATAATCGGCGCGCAACTGGAGCCGCTGACTTTTCTGATCTGCATCTCCACATATGGCAAATGTCCTCCACACTCGATTAAACTCGTATGAAGTGGACGGCGCATTGTTGGGTATCTTGAGCATAATAGGCGGTCTCTTTGTCACGCTCTGTTCAGATGCCACCGGTCGCAGCGTCTCGTCCTGAGGCTGGCACGAGGCGGACGATTTGGGTGGCACCGGGGAGTTCCGTTTTGTACCAGAAGATAATCGCGCCAGCTGTTGGAACCCACGATGTGCCTTCTCGTCTGCAGCATTTGCCAAGTTATTGGCATGACTTGACACGTTCTCGTGTACAACTTCGATTGCAAATCCTGTGCGCATTGGAGATCGCTTGATTGCTGTCCGAATGAGCTCTCGAGTCGATTGCAGCTGTGCTTGAATTTGACGGCTTTTTCGGTCCAGAGTTGCGGCGTGGTGGAAGTCAAGCAGCGCAAGTCGATGTTTTCCTAACGAGTTGCGTGCTGTACCTCGACGTGTATGTGACTTGACGTGCGTCGGATCTATTTTCAATGCCGACGTGCAGTCGTCTTCAGCATTGACAAACTCTTGCTTCTTCAAGTACGCCATGGCGCGGTTCGACAAGACGACTGCGTTATGCGGGTTCCAGCTCAAACAGCGTGTATAGCTCTCGATCGCAGCCTCGTAGTCACCACAACTATAATGCGCATTTCCATCTTCCTTTTCCAGCTCTTCTCGACTTTTAGACGTCGCTGCAGCAGCCTTCTTCAGGATCGTTGTACCCTCATGACATACACCACGCATAGTTTCCACCAAGTTCAACCTTCTCGAGCTATTCACGCTTTGACCGTCGTCTCCGTCTGCTTGTCCGTGCTCTACATCCTGTTACCGAAAGCAAACCCCGTCAAAAATGAACATTCCGCCACAGTCAGTACCAAAGTTCCACCGCCCTCTCATCACAATACACATATATGTTGCGCCTGAATACTCAAAGATGGTACAAACCTCTTCATTATCACGAGAAATCGATTGCTTTCCGTCAGTAGTAGCCTCAATTCCACACACATCACTGGCGCCACTCCTGCTACCGACTACTCGTGCATCCCGAGGCGGACAAAAAGCCGCAGCAGTACCAGCCGTTGCTGCTCTTCTGTGTGCTAGATCTTCCTGGTCAATGGTACGTCCCCATTCGTATAGATCCGCGAGGCAGGCCTGCGACGCTGCCGCTTTGGCACGAAGCTCGAGCGGTGTCACGTCTTTTGTCATGACTATTGGTGTGTCACTGTCAAAAACTCGGTAAATGCCTATCTTGCGTTTTGCATGCACGACCCCGTTGGTTGTCAACAAAGACTGTCATTTTCAGCCGACAAGTATACACGGTATTAGTTCTGACAGTACACACCTACCGTCGTCGTCGTCGTCGACATCATTCGAGCTACCATCCTCGCAGGGTTGAACCATAAGCAACCAAAGCGACGGCGAGTGGGCACATGGAAGTGCATCGCGCCTTCATCGACAATGCGTTCGAACGCTACGTACTGGCCACAGGAGAGGAGCTCACGAAGCGTGCGACTGCCCTGTCGGTGCCAGCTTTAGCACCGCTGCTTGCTGATCCAGGCATGCGCAAAAAGGCGCACTGGGAGGCACGGGTACACCACAACGCGCTGACACTTGACCCGTTCTTGAGCCAAAGCTATGGCGCAACTGTCGCGTACTTTGTGGGTGCATCGTATCAGCTTGTACAGGTTCTGGAGCACAAGACGCGTGGAGTGAAGCTCAAGAGCGTGTACGACTTGCCACAACTGGCCGCACGACAGGAGAACGTGTCGGTGCAAGTCGCAGGCAAAGGATTCGTCGTGTACTGCGACGGACACGGGATGCTGCACTGTTTGAGAGCTGAGACGGACCAAGAAGGATCCAAGTGGAGTCAAGTGTACGAGTGTGCACCGTGGGGCGTCGTCCCGTTGTTGCTGGTGGGTGCTCTTTACGATGCCCAACACCACCATCTTCGTGCTGTGGTAGCCGAACCTTTGTTTGGCAATGGAGATGATAGAGCCTTCCGACTTTCGGTGGCTTGCGTTTTTTTGTCAACAGCCGCTACGATGAAGCGTGATATGGCTGAGCATGGACTGAACCACGTGACGTCTACCGTTGCTGTGGTGTCAAAATTACCGACGCTCGTCTCATTCAGCGGACCTGATGTGGTTTTGCTTGTGGAAGGGACGTACGAGTTACTGATGAAACTCGTAGCAGACAAGTCGGAGCGGACTGTTGTAAATGTAGCGCCAGTAGCTACTGGCGTAGGTCATGTGCGTTGCCACGAAGAGGACGATTTGACTAACGATGAGATGACGGATTTACTGTCTGCATTTCCACGAGCTGGGATTGGTTTCCATGGTGCTATCACAAAGCCCAAAGTGCCGAGCGAATTGGCATCGGTTGACTTCAAGACGTCATTGCGTGATCGTTTCCACAAGTCCAGCACGCCATTCAGTTCAGTAGCCACGTCTCTCAATGAAGCACCTCTTGCCTCAACGCATCCGAACAAGGAAGGTGCTAGCAGAACTTCAGGCCATCGATGTGAGGTCCCGACAGCAGAGTCCCTTCTCAGCGGCTTTGAGGAGTGTGACAGCGGTGATCCGAACGCCAAGGCGTGTGTACTACTCGTGAACTGCGAGCAGCAGGTAGTACAGCACCAAATGGGTATCGACTGCATGCAGTTCCAGTTTCTCTGTCCAAGTGCCCGTGTGCAAGACTCGAGTGACTACAAGTCAGCGCTACTTTTCCGAAACGACGTGCACGGTCTGATTTTCGGGCTGAATGGGACCGAAGGTCCACTGGCCCTACGTCACTCAGCCACGTTACCCGCGTTCGGATTTGTGCAAGCTTCGAAACAGGAAAAGAAGTTCATGTCATGCCATGCATCAGGTTCACTTGCCTGTATCGGCGAGTTCCAGCGGCGCGTGTTCGTGTACCAGGGCAAAAGCTCGGAAACCGAGCGCGAATCGCATACACGCAAGCAGCACATGATGGAGTTTGGCGATCAAGAGCTATTGGGAATGCAAGTTGCGGATGAAAACACGGTCCTCGTGCTGACATCGAGTCAAGTCTACTCGCTCCAGCTGTGCAGTAGCACAAGTTCGTAAGAGTATACTACTGACTCGTACATTGCGCTTGACCGCCATCATTGAAATGCATTATTTTTGTCCAATCCAAACGCGCTATACGATTGAAATCGAGCAGCTACTGTAGCCATACAAAAAGCGACTCGCAGTCAGCGGCCATGATCCTCTCGATGCGTCAAATGCGACCGGCCGTCACGTCCATGGCACGGTCTGTTGCCCGCAGGTGCGCTTGTTGTCCTCCTTCTTATACTCTTGATGTGTCTCTGTTCCTTTATTGTACTGTCAACAAGCTGCTGATTGGATATGTGCTGTTCGTGTGTACCAGTAATCCTCGGATAGCCCAGACGGATTGCTCCCTGCGTTTCGAGCATGCAGCCGCTAGGCGACTTATACCTACGCAATTTTGCAATGGACGTTCGTTCTCCTCTTCGCCGGTGGTCGGGTACGACGCTCACTGTGGTTGAGCTTCTCTGCGAAAACCGGGACTGAACATGGCTGCTGGGTCTATGATACAGGCTGGCGACTGACGACCGAGTTGTCGAAGGTTCACCTGTGGAAGGAGCAGAACAGGCGCTGGACGCTGCCGGTATGACGAAGCGGTGCTTTGTTTGATAGTTGTGGTCGTGGGGACACTTCTGATGTTGATTTGGTGTATCTTGGTTAAAGCTTCGGCGGTCGATTATGCATCAGTGTCGGACCTTGGTGCGTAGCAGCGCTGAATGACGTGAACGAGTTTGTTGATCTGACATCTTGGGTAATCTGGATATACAGGCTACGGTTTGTCTGACATTGCGATTCGCTCGCTCGATCTGATTCACTCTACGACGGGACTTCCGTGGTGGGCAACCATCATTGCGACGACCGTTGCCGTCCGTACGGTCTTCTTTCCGATTACAGTCGTATCGGTACGTGATGACATCCTGGAGCATGGTGACGATAGATGCACATAACACTCGATTGATGCTTTTGTGTAGATGAGAAATGCAGCCAAGATGAAACTGTTCCAGCCTGACATGGAGAAGCTGCGCAATGAGATGGACGCCAATCCGGATCGAGATCCTGAGTCTATCAAGGAGTTCCAGAAGAAGTACAAAGCGTTGATGAAGAAGCACGACGTGAACCCGCTCAAGAGCATGCTCACGCCTTTGGCTCAGGTAGGAGGAACAGCTGATCGCTTGTCACCTTCTTGTCAAGCGCGCTTTCCCAACAGCTACTCATTCTGTCTTGGCGTGTCGTGTCGTGTCACATGCAGATACCAGTCTTCATCGGATTCTTCTGGGGTCTGCAGGACATCTCCAAGTACTTTCCGGAGTATGCACACGAAGGAATTGGCTGGGTGAAGGATCTTTCCGTCGCGGACCCGACGACAGCGCTTCCTGTAATTTCGTCTGCTCTATTGGTCGCGTCTGTGGAACTTGGTGGCGACGCTATGACTGGCGAAATGAAAGATAAGATGAAATTCGGCATGCGCTGCTTTGCGGTCCTGATGGTCCCACTTACCATGAACTTCCAGTCGGTATGCAATTGGACAAACTGTACATGTCGCGATGTTCGTGTATCTAAACTTGCTGATTTGTTTCTGACAGGGCATCTTCGTATACTGGGTGACATCGAATATGTACACGCTGACGCAAACGGCTTTATTGCGGCTAAACTTTGTCAAGCGTGTGTTCAATATTCCGGTGACCGAGGTACAACGCTTGGAAACATCCAGCGTAACGATGACGTCGCCCTTTGAAGCTGCAGTGGCTCGTGCGAAGGAAGGCACGATTGTCAAGACGCACATGTACAAACCGACCAAGCCGTCTAAGAAGAAACAATGACCGCGCCATTTGCTTCGTCCGACCAAATAAGCGGCGTCGGCAGCAAATCTGTTCCCATCAGTTATAGAGGAGTTCGTCCGGAGCGAGAGTGCGAGCCATACACGGTTTGAATATACCCAAAGCGTCCAGCTGGTAGTCAGCGCTCATTGTGCCTTTTCACTTGCCGCGCTCGTGCCGTCTGTATGCACAATGACGAATATGCCAGGCGCGTTCTGATACAGGCACAACATGAGTCTTAGAAACACTACACATGAACGATATCGACATGTGTGCGCACCTGAATTTGAGGGCACAGTGTAGATGGCAGGAAACGCGCGTGCTCCTCGCAAAACACATTGCGCATGGCGAGCTCATGTTGTGCTAGAGCTGCAAGCTTCGTCGTTGTCTCTTCAACCTTCTCGACATCATACGGACACGGTCAATCAGTAGCTATGCTTGAGCAAGACGCACGATCGCACCAACGTACAAGTTGAGAAACTTTGGAGTCGTACAGCTTACGTCGGAGCAGTTCAGCACTGACAGACTGGTAAGATGCCAGAAACTGAAGGTAGAAGTCTCGAAGGCTACGCAGCTCGTCGAAAAGGAGCTGCGCTTCGGCGAAGATCACCTCGTAGCTGTATCGTCACAAAGAGATTCACGTCAGCCACCTTGTCGCAGTCAATCGATATCCTCGGTAACGCACTATGGATAGATATCATTGATTGTGGTGAAGTACTGCAGCAAGAACCGGTCGCACTGCTCCATGTCGACGAAGAAGTTGACCTATCGACACAACATCTACGCAGTTCAGCCACCATCACACTCGCCACTCGCTCAAATGATAGCGGTAGCACGTACGGCTGCATCATAAAGCTTTTCAACAGGTCCAACCTTGTCATCGCTACTCAAGCAGCAGCAGGTCAGCGTAATACAATCACGAGCATGGAGAACGAGAAACGTACGTGATCATGACATCACATTGCTGCTCTCCCACCAGCGCGTTCGTGTCACTTCCATAAGCGTCATCAAACGTTCGAAAGAATTTGTAAATGGCCGTGATTCTCGTAATAGCGTGTTCGTGGGCTGCCAGCAGTTCTTCCAGTCTGTATCCCAATCCCAAAATCAAGAGACTCAACGTTACCATCCGCTTCCCATCATTCACACATGCGCAACATGGTCCACCCACTCTTTGGCCTGCTCAAGAGCATCTTGCTGCAGCGACTGGACCGTCTCCGCATCGACAAAGTCAAACAGCGTCTTGTCCTGCTCGCCGCCGACCATGGATGGGTCCACTGCACTGCTCTGGAGCCGTTCAAACACGTGATTCAGTTCATCCAGCAGCTGTTCGTCGCGAAAGTATCCAGCAACGTCAAGGTCACTCAAGTATGTATTTCTCCATTATCGCATTGGCAGAGAGTCAGATACCGGTATTTCCACTCCTTACCGGTGTCTGTGCAAATACCGACGTGTGCGCAATCTCCTGAGCACTGTGGAGCTTCACGCGTGAGGTATCCAGCATCTTGCCAAGCACCTGAACGTATACATGTATACAGTATACACAATGTAGCTGTGAGCACATGGCAGTGTCCCGAACACCTTGACGTACGCACTTGGCCTTTCTCTGCAATTGTCTTGACCACTTCGCGTGTCGCATTGGCAAAATACTCGGTCGCCATGTCTCGTATTGCAGCAAGGAGGTATCAGATCTGAGTACGTTTGCGGACACGGAGTGCGTAATCGTTCCTCGTACGATGTTGAACTCGTCAATGATTGGCTCGAATACAATGGCCCGACGAACGGCTCTACTCCAGCCTCTTGAAAACAACATCCAAGATTATTGATTCCTACAAGTCGTTTACTATCGGATCAGCCGACAAAGACGCATCACGGTAGTCAGTATATTATCTTATACCGACAAACAGCCAGCAACAACGCTGCAGCCATTTTACTTTCGAGAGACGTGTATGAAGCCATGGACGGCGGCGTGATTGCCATCCTGGCAAACGTGGGCCTCGTAGTCGTGCTAGCCATTGCGTTTTTCATGGTGCGGCGCAAGGTCACCCACGTGCATACACAGAGACTGCGTGAACTCGCGGCGCCGCTGCTCGGCACGTGCGTTATAAAAAGAGAGAGAGACTCTGCGTGGGAGTGTCTTTGTATTGTCATTGAATCGCTGATTGACCTTGTTCTGGTTGTTACTTTGGTACAATCCTTTATGACAGGGTCACTGCAAGTGCTGATCATCGACTGGATACTGTCATACGAGAAGCGGAGAAGGGCTTTGACGTGTGTCTTGTCTGCGAGTTTGAGAACTTCAAGGACGCGCGCTTCTGTTCGCTATGTGGAGAGAGCCTGGACACGGGCGAAAAGCTTGCGAACCGAGGCAGTAGATACACGAGGAGGCTCAGGAGAAGAGAGAAGAGGAAGCGCGCGGGCAATGCTGCACCTTGCCGCTTGACAGAGCGTCAGGTGCGTGCGAGGAAGAGGAAAGAGTGGACTCGAAAACTTGATGTGGAGGGCAATATGTTTTGGTTTCGTGCTAAAGAAGGCAGTGGACCTGTACCACCTGCTCGGGTGGGCAAAGTGATACGGTTTGTCAAGCCTAATGAGAATGTAAAGATGCCTGGACAAGTGCTTGGTCCAGTTGCAACGTGCAGTGATATAGCAGTCGTCGAGCCTGCTAAATTGAAGGTGTTTCATGAAATCGCGGACATGGATATCATTCCAGCTACGAAGTGGAATGCTGCGGCAAGAGCGACTGGCGAAGTGCTGGAGGACAACACGCAAATGGGAGTTGAGCGCCGGCGCGAAACGCTGGAGTTTGTCGCTATGGACTTTCCTTCGAAGTACGCATATTTTGTCAAGAGCACGGTGTCGCTGCTTGTTCCACCCGAGGTGGAATTTCTCAAGCTGTCGATTCATAGAGACTACGTGTTTGAGGAATCCATGGAACACCTTGGATGCATTGATGAAAGATACGTTCGGTCGGCCATGCGTATCAATTTTCTCGAAGAAAGCGGCGTGGACGCCGGTGGGCTCCATCGCGAATGGTTTTTGATGCTAACGGAGTTAATGATGGACCCAACAGCAGGGCTGTTCAAGGCCACGAACGGGGAGGACCGTGCCTTTTTCTTGAACCCCAATTCTCGCTATGAAAACGGAGAGGAACATCGATTCTACTATTATGGAGCGGGGAGGTTATTAGGGAGGGCGCTGCTAGAAGGCACGGTGCTCAACTTCCACTTGTGCGTTCCGCTGCTTAAGCTTATTCTAGGCACGCCACTGTGCATGGACGACATAAAGTACTTTGACCCGGAAGTGTACACGAACATGATGTGGATACTAGAGAACGACGGCGTTGAGACATTGGATCTGGACTTCAGCGTGATTGAATACGTATGTGATCGGATGATAACGGTCGATCTCATCCCGAATGGACGCGACATCACAGTCACCGATGCCAACAAGCACGAGTATTTGGAGCGCAAGTTTGAGTATCTGCTGCTTAGAAGTGTGGCCGACCAGCTCTACGTGTTCCTAAAGGGCATCTACGAGGTCATCCCGCAGCATTTGTTGATGCTCTTTGACTATGAAGAGCTCGACAATTTGATGTGCGGGTCTCCGGAGATCGACGTAGATGACTGGGAGAAGAACTCGTCGGTCACCGAGAGCGTGGCGCGGTCCCCGACGCTCGGGTGGTTTTGGGAGATCGTTCGTGAGATGCCTAACGAGTACCGGCGGCGTCTGCTGCAGTTCACTACGGGCTGCTCGCGCGTGCCCCTCGTGGGTTTCAAGGGTCTTACAAGCTACGATGGCAACGTGTGTTTGTTCACGATCCGAGGCATTGTTGGCGCGCCGGACGAGTTTGTACGCAGCTTTGCGTGCTTCAATCGGCTGGATCTGCCGTTGGGCATCTCCCGATCTGAGCTGGAGCGCATGCTCTATGCCGTTCTGGACACGGAGCAGTACGGGTTCAATACAGACTGACTGGTGTAAGTGCAGGAACTGGTCAAGGAGTAATGTGATGGAATGGCATTTGCCGGATGGTGCCGACAATACCAAACACGAAGTTTTGCGTCGAGTCTGCTCTTTTGTATCGACGTAACTAGCACCAGACGGACCGGGCAAAGTACACAATAAACTCATCGAATTCGCTCTGACCAATGCGGTTGTTAAAATGTTTTGGGGGAGTAGTAAAGTTCGTGAGGACTGACGCTAGCACGAGTTGCTTCTGATGATGTCGCAGCGTTTTGTAGCAGACCGTATCAGTGCGATTGTCTATCGCTGAACAGAGCTTGGGTAGGGTGGTCGATTTGAGCTTTGTATGTCCACTTTGTCGATACAGTCTAGTATTCCAGGTGTGCTTGGAACTCATCACAAAGCCACACCTGATGTTACTTACCACTGCAGACCCGGTTCAGCGATTGTAAGTCGACACGTAACTCTATCGATCGAAATCTGTATCAGTGAGCTTACTGTTACAGTGTAGAAATGTGAGGAGTGTCAGTGTATAAGACGCTGTGCAGCGTTCTCACGACACGGCGTTGATTGCTACAGGCTAGGATGCACACATTTTCCGCAGTAAAACGTTGTGCTACACTAGCTCATACGACAAAATCTGTAGTAATGGTAATGTGTATCATAAAATGGTGTGCTAACTTACGAGCGCTTCGTCGCTTGCATCAGCAGATCGACCTACATTGAGAAACAGGTGGAAGAATATTGCAATGTTACGGGATCAGCGCCAGTCTCGCACAAATAAGCAAACATTGCACTCGAGTGTACGTCAGCACATTCCGTAGGAACTGACCTACGAACAATGAATCAATTCATGGTACTAGGGATTCAGCTGACGAAACGCTGGACTTGTAGGTTTTTACACTGATACATGGATGAATACGTTGTTGCGCGTGTAATAAAAGTGGGAATACCGGTGCATCGAATGTCGAGCGGTCGCATCAACGCGTCGTTTTCACTGAGTATAATCAATATCGCAGAGCTCCTCTATCCGCGTAGCATCGTCATCCAATCAGGACATCCAGCGTAAAAAGCACTTTGCTTTCCAGCTTTTTATGCTGCAGCTCGAGCTACAGTGCACCTACATCCCAAGTATCGATCTGCTCGTTTTCTACACGGACACACGCGTATCTCCACGAAGATCTCAAACGCACACAAAATATAGTACGGGCTATCTCTGGCACCTAGCTCCAGTATCGCTACAAACCAGTTGTAGTACCATTCGTAGTACACGACGATCGTACACCGTACAAAGCGTCGAGCGACAAATCAGTCAGCAAAAATAGTACTGACCTCTTACGACTGTACCATCTTGAGGATCGGTACGAGGCAAACGCATCCTGACGACCGCCTCAACCACTTCCCAGTCAAAAAAACACACGTGACCAACGACTTTCGACCACCACAACTGGCCTCATTTTCTCTTGTGTCCGACATGACAAATCGGTTCGCAGCGACCGGGTCCTCGCTCGTTACTGCAACCGACTTGTCCGTCTGTGGTGTCGTGCTGCTCCTCACTGCTGCTTTCTTCACCAGACACGTCTTGCGTCACAAACAGACGACAGCCAGCATTGGCACGAGACCTCATAGCTCTGCTGTATCTCCCCTCTCTGCGTACGTGGCGACTACGATTATTCGATCCCAAAATTGATGCGAAATTTGCTGAAACTGTATGCGGTATTTTTGCTGGGGATGACGATGCAACAGAGAGCAAGTGGCTGAGTGTCGAGTGCTGGCTGCTGCACGGTGCGTCCACTCTGACAGTTCTCATACGCACAAACCAATGTAAAAAGAGCGTCAACTTTGCTTGACGTTACGGTTGGTACTTTGATTATGCTTCACAGTGGAGCAGCAGAAGGAGCGGCTACATGTACGACCTGTGGCTTTGCAAATTTTGTCCGTGCAAAGCACTGTGCCATGTGCAACTCGGATCGAGAACTTTCCGTCACTTCTCGCTCTACTATCTATCATGTCGGTGATGGGAAATCACCACTTCCTCGTTACCAAGAACGCCGAGAATGGACCCGACAAATCAATGCCAAGAACTGCGTGGTCTGGCAGCGGAGACTTCAAAAAGGGTCGGACCAGTCGCCAGGGTACGTGCTTCGCTTCGACCTGTTACAAGATGCTGAGCCCGAGTCGGAACGTGAAGTCTTCAGGCAACGAGAACGCAGTCTTAGCTCAGGTTACAACCCGTGTGCAGGTGTGCAATTTGAGCTGCTGGAGTCGCGTGACGTGGACTCGACGCAGTTCCCACTGCCACCTCCACGTGCTGATAGGGCGGACACGATGGAAGACCTATCGCAGATAGCAGTAGTCCACGCTGCTCAAGATTTCCCAACAAAATACGCTCACTTTGTGAAGAAAGCTGCAATGCTGCTTCTGGAAGGAAAAAAGAAGGAGGAGTCGTGTTTGGTTGTGCATCCAGAGCACATTCTTGAGCAATCAGTGGAGCATATCAAGTGCATTCATGAGACGAGTATCCGATCAGTCCGTCTACAAATCAAATTTGCTGGTGAAGAAGACGTGTCTAGCAATGTTGGTGGACTACACCGCGAATGGTCGACCCTTTTGAATGCAAGACTGGTGGATCCACACGTAGGCCTGTTCGCGTGCACGCAACGCAGTGCTCAGACGTACTTCATCAACCCGCAGTCGGAAGTCGTGCTAGGAGCTGACCATTTGCTGTACTTTTACGCAGTGGGGAGACTTGTCGGGCGAACACTTATCGAAGGAGCCGTGCTTGACTTCCATTTGTGTGAGCCGCTGCTCAAAATGATCTTGGGAACGCCGGTTGTTTTCGGCGATTTGGAGCACTTGGATGCCGTGATGTACCAAAGTTTGTCGCATCTGCTGGAGAACGATGGCGCTGGAGCGCTAGAATTAGACTTCACGGTGGCACAACGTCACGCTGATCACGTCCAGACCGTAGAGCTCATTCCAGCTGGCCGAAACATCCAGGTTAATGACGATAACAAGTTCGAGTTCGCGGACCGCAAGTTCCGCTTTATGATGTTTGAGAGCGTGGCACCACAGTTAGCCTCTTTCCTAAAGGGGTTCTACGAAGTGGTCCCTCAGCGCCTGTTGTTGGCATTTGATTACGAGGAGTTGGACTACTTGTTGTGTGGATCTGACAAGATCGATGTCGCAGAGTGGAAGCAGCACACGCGTTTGGCTATGGAATACCGACGCGAGGTAGCGTGGTTCTGGGACGTCATTGAGCACATGTCCACTGTATACCGGAAACAGCTGCTGCATTTTGCCACGGGCTACCCACGCGTTCCATTGACTGGTTTCGAGGGCCTCACAAGCTATGATGGTCAGGTCTGTTTATTTACACTGGCAGATGCGGGTGCTAGAGGCTGTTTTCGAAGCCACCCATGCCACAACCTGCTTGAGCTACCGAGCTTTCGGACCAAAGATGAATTACGCACAGCGCTGTATGCCGCTCTGTATAACGAATCACGTGTCAGTGACGTCACGACGGGCAACAACACCTCCGAATTGTTGATGTAATATGGCTAGCGGCTGCAGCTAGCACTTGTAACAGCACATTTTGTTTTCTAATTTGCATTTTCATGTAAAAATGGTCTGCCGGCCCAAAGTTTACAATTCAATAATTGGCTGACGTCGGTCGTCGGTCAATATGATGCATAACCTTCAAATTGACTACAAGTCCTGTTTCTGGACGTTATACGTCGTGAGACGATCCACATTTCCCCACCCAGAGCTTCAACATCGTTCTAATGTCACGGAAACGACGTTTCACGGCTTAAATATGCGACAGTCTTCTTGGTTTAGTGACACTCCTATGTCTTGATAGGCGTGTATTTTAACATACTATCATCTGTTCAGATCCACGGGTGGCGTCAAAGGAAGACTAACCAGGGTGTTTCTCATGAAATTTGGTCGGTCAAAATTTGGATAGGTTCGGCTCATTGTGCCATTCAATATAGCTGTTATCCAGCAACATACGTATCGATGCAAACGTGTCCCAAAAAGTCAGTGTCATTTGCGAACAATAATTGGAACGTCCACGGCTAACGCTGATAACTAGCCTCGTCGATCGCTTGACACGATCGGCTCCAGTGTGTGGCCCATTCAGATCACAGAACACACTTCACTTGAAACTGCGCTTTATTTCGGATAGAGTGTAAAGTGCGCGCTGCTATAATTTGCAAACACAACAAGAGCGTTCTACATCGATGTACAAACTGGTCTACTTCGTTTTATCAAGAAAAGTCTCGTATCACGGCTCGCCGCAGCAAACTGGATTAAGAATAGGAGCGCATCAAAATACGCATCTTACCAGACCAATGGGGAACTACGAGGCCCTCCTACATCTTACATGTTCAATTCCATATCACTCCGATCAATACGGCATTGCTGCATCAACCGTTTTTTGTTTATACACCGCACCATATTGTGCGTAAGAACGTATTTTTCGTTCGGGCGAAAGATGACTTGATGTACATCAAATCGCAGCAACGGCTGCACGTTTATACAGAAAAGGTGCGATGATAACACGGAAGAATCACACGTTCTCACTTGTCTCGATCACGTTTAACTCGCCACATCCGACGCTGAATTCGAAAGTCGCTTTGATAAACTCGTGCACTGATCGCATGCATTTCACGGTAGCAAAAGAAACTTTTACAGTACTAAAAATAGCGAGATTGGTCAGGTTGGTGTGATATTAGTCAAGCACAAGCAAATTACATATATACTGCAATCTACTTGCTTAGTGCTGCAAACTAAATTGAGCCGTATTTTCCATCTTGCCTGGAACGTTTTAGCAATCCAAAATCACCAGTCAAATACCAGATGAAATCATTACGTTCTTTAAATTTAGTGTTAGTGACGTTTTCCCTTTATTCTAACACCAACCACATGTGCTGCATGTCATTGTACGCAGCGCAAATGCATTTTTGATGCGACCCTATGATAACCCGTGACTTCCACGTGCCCCCTTTCGTAAAAGCACTAGTCGAGTGTTGTAACGGGGTGAATCGTTACATAACAATTTATAAGAAATTGTTAATAGAATATAACTATAAGAGTTATATTCTCAGAATATTGTCATAAGGACAATATTCTGTAGCACTTCCAAGTAGTTCCTAATTGGTTGATATAGGCCATTATATCAACCAACGAAGACGCGCCACGACAGACGCACGCAATGAGTGGTGAGCAGATAACTGATTTACACATTTGTATTTAGACATAGTTAGATGAAGATAAATAGTGATTTATTGCAGACATTAACTATTATAAATACAGTTCTACTTTTACTCTAACCAAGTACTCGCTTCTTCTTACCGTCTTCCTCTGCACGTACGAGTGTACGTGAAGTTACGAGGCACCGCCTTATTCTGTTATCAGAATAAGTAGCTTGTACTGTCACCAGTACAAGCTTCAGGGTGCCCCGTTACACCTGGTAGCACTTCGTAGTCCGTCCAAGGACCGCGTTCACATCCAACATGAATATGTTGGATGATGAAGATGACCAAAGCTTTCACGCTACGCGTGACGGCTACTCCCATTTGAGCGATGTCGAATGGGATGCGGTTGAACGAATGGGTTCGACCATGGGCATCCATGCTGTTAGCGTCATGCTAGAGGCTCTCAATAGAGATGCCCAACATGCTACTATCGCCAAGTTCATTCAAAATGAACTTGACGCAGAACGCGAGAAAGTAGCCTTGCTTCACCAACAAGGTTCTCAACAAGCAGAGTTGTTGAGAGAACAAGGTGCTCAACAGTTTGAACTGTTGAGACAGCAGCAGGCTGCTGCTGGCGGGTCGATGCACTCGCGTCGGCCCGAGACTTTGAAGATTGACATCTCAAAGTATAGGGGGGTCGAAGAAGACTCCCTCTTGAGATGGTTCGTCGAATTGGATGACGCCATAAGGGCGCGTCGCATCGACGACGGGGATATGCAAGTTGCATTTGCCCAGTCAAATCTGGCAGGACGTGCCAAGACTTGGGCACTGGGGCTCAAGCTGCACGACCCATACGCGTTTGGGTCGTTGGAAGTCTTCAAGTCGCGGCTCAGACAAACGTTTGAACCGCCTAGAGCTGAGTTCAGAGCTCGAACCGAACTCTTGAAGCTCAAGCAGGGTAAGCGTGATGTGCACGCTTACGCTCAACATATACGACATCTCACGAGTTGTATAAGTTCCAATCCGGTGGATGAACACACGTTGGTTTCGGTGTTCATGCAGGGTCTTGCGGATGGTCCCGTCAAGACTCACCTGTTCCGGCTTGAACTAGATTCACTAGAACAAGCCATTTCCATTGCGGAGCAGGAAGACTTCAGTCTGAGACAGGCTCGCGCCAGCTCGACATCATATCGTCAACCGAGACGATATGACAACGGAGGTCCAGAGCCGATGGAACTCTGTTATGTAGAGAGCGAGAAGGCTCGCTCTACAGGCTACAAGAAGTTGCAGAGATGCAACAGATGTCAAAAGACAGGACACTACGCTTACGAGTGTAGTGCCCCTCGTCCAGTGTCTCGCGACACTGGGCGTAGTGACCGTCCACCCATGAGAAAGGGGCAGGGACGAGGGTCCGCAGTTGGTGCAAAGACGCAACAACGGGATGGACCGTCAAAAAACGGACAGGATCAGTAGGTGCGGAGCACCCTACTGATCCAGCAACGTCAAGAGAATTTGTAGGCCTCTTGATGATGGTTGCTCCCAACACACAGACATTGTGCGTTGCTGCTCTAGGTAATGAGATCTCACTCATTACCTTGAAACTCGAAGTGACGAATAAGTTGTCCCTTCGAGCTCTAGTCGATTGTGGGGCGTCCAACAATTTTGTGCGACGCCAATCGCTAGAAGATGGTCACTTTAAATTCAGTGAATGTGACACACCTCCTACGAGGATGACGGTACGTCTTGCGACAGGCGCATCCGTAACCAATCATGAAGCGTATAGTGAAGATTCACTATACGCTAGAAGATACCCAATACGACGATGACTTTATCGTATTGGATTTGGATGACAAATTTGATGTCATCCTTGGAATACCGTGGCTCAGAAGGTACGAACCACGGGTAAACTGGCAACATCGGACAGTAACGATGCCTGCCGCTTGTTCATCAGATGGCCATCTGATGAACGTTTTGGAGAGTCCACAAGCGTGTGGATGTACTACGAGTGAGTGCGATGGCCTCACTTGTGGTACGGTCGTTAGTACGACTGCACAAAACCTTAGTGTACCAAACGGTTACACTTCGGAGCAAAGTTCCGGCGGCTGTGAGGAAACACAGGCTGCGCCGAAGGTCCACCACTCGAATAAGTCGGGTGGACTGGGACAAAGATGTATCCCTAGAGGGGAACATCTAGAAGAGAAACAATCGATCGCTCAGGTTAAGCGAAACGATAATCCTAGATCGACTGGAGAGTCTTTCGTAGAGGATCTCGCTGTGGTTGCGCAACCCCAGCTAGAGGAAGTAAAGGGAATAAGTCCCAAGATTACAAATACGGCGGAAATAAGTTCCCTCGAAACCCGCGGGAATAAGTCCCCGGGAAGACGAAGGAATAAGTCCTTCGAAGCCTGAGGGAATAAGTCCCCAGGAAATGACAGAGACATTGAATGTCATAGTCAATAACGGATCATGTGTAGGCGCTTATACACTTGATCTGATTGCGCCTCCGAAGTTAACTTCGGAGATCACTCAGTTGCCAACGCTCGAACATAAAAGATTCTTGCGTGATCTGCGTAGTGGCAAAGTCAAGCAGATCTGCATACTCGTCGCTGAAGACGAGTATGTAACCGACATAAGGTCAGCAACAGTGTTTACTGAGAACGAGAGAGTTCTCAGTAGTTCATCTATGGACGAGAGTGTCCTAGATGAAAAGACACGAATTGAGCGATATGAGTCCCAATCATGGGAATCGCTCAAGGAAAATCCTCTCTATGAAGATTTGGTTGAATTCAAGGATGTATTCCCTGAAACTGTTCCGTGCGAATTACCGAAGGATAAAGGTATTCGACACGAAGTCGAGCTTAAACCAGGCTCGAAGTACTGTGTCATGAAGCAGTGGCCACTGCCTCGTGAACAGTACTTGCGATCGACAAGTTCTTTGCCGATCGTTTAGCAGCGGGCCATGTGAGGGAATCAACTTCCCCACATAGCTCTCCGACCTTCTGTGTGCGAAAAGCAACAGGAGGGTGGCGGATAGTGCACGCGTTTAACAAATTGAACGCTGCAACGGTACCGGCTCAGACGCCGATACCGAGGAAGGACGTAATCATTGATGGTATGTCAAAGAGTACCATCTTTTCGTCCATGGATTTGATGGATGGCTTCTATCAAATCCTAATGCGGGAACGGGATATACCCTATACCGCAGTTAGCACGCCTAGCGGCATGCTCTGGGAATGGCTAGTAATGCCACAAGGGCTTAGTAATGCCCCTGCCACGTTCAACAGATGTGTATCACATCTGTTGAGGCCAGTACGAGAATTTGCGCCGAGTTATTTTGATGACGTATTCATCCATAGTCGGGCCATGGATGGAAAGTCGGACGTTGAGGTTCACAAGTACCACGTCCGACAAGTTCTTACAATCATGCGAAAGCATCAATTGTATGCAAACCTCAAGAAGTGTATATTTGCAGCAAGCGAAATACCACTTCTTGGGTGCATCGTTGGTAAGAACGGTGTACGTCCTGATCCCGAAAAGATCAAGGCGATCACCGACTGGCCCGTGCCGGTCGATGTCAAAGGTCTTCGAAAATTCCTTAGCTAGCGGCGTATTTGCATAAGTATTCACGCAATTACGCCGAGATGACTGTACACCTCTCTCGTTTGTTGAAAAAGAACGAGAGGTGGTTATGGAACGCTGAATGTCAACGCTCCTTTGAGGGTATCAAGCAGAGCTTGATACAATCCCCAGTCCTAGCAATAGCCGATCAGGACAGGCCATTTCATGTGGTCTGTGATGCCAGCGATTTCGCAATCGGCTGTGCATTAATGCAGTACGACCTTGAAGGCGTTGAACGCGTCGTCTGCTATCAGTCGCGTCAGCTGCAACCAGCTGAGCGGAACTATCCAGTGCATGACAAGGAACTCCTTGCCATGAAGTATGCACTCGCGAAGTTCAGAGTCTATCTATTAGGAGATAGACCCTTCGTTGTTTACACTGACCATGCGTCCTTACGCACGGCAGTGAACAGCCCGCACCTTTCACAACGAATGGCGCGGTGGTTGTCATTCTTTGCAGAATACAACTTTACGGTCGAGTACAAACCAGGACGACTTAATGTCGTCGCTGATGCACTCCACGTCGTCCCGACTTTGAAACAGTCGCGAAACCCAACAGTGAGACAGTCACTGTTGCGGTTATGACGTCCTCAGTTCCATCTACAACGTTGTATGATGATGTGAGGCGGGCATACGCCCAAGATGGTGAGATAGTGAAGTTGTTGTCACATCTCTCCCAACCATCTCGAGAATCGTTGAAACGATTGTCGTCTGCGTATCGATCTGCATCAGATCGATACACTACTCGTAACGGTTTACTGTACTATACAGCCGTTTCTGGTGACACACCACGTGTTGTCATTCCAGATGATACTGATCTGCGTTTGCGGATCATGTTCGAGTATCACGATGCTCCTATAGGAGGACATCGTGGCCGAGAGAAAACATATCTCACGGTAAGTCGAGACTTTTACTGGCCCCGCCAGTATCAGTTTGTGCGAAAGTATGTTCGCGCATGCGAAGTCTGCCAACGAGTGAAGTCAAGTCCTTCACTGCGTGCACCTTTACAGCCTCTACCGGTTCCGGCTGAGTGCTGGGAATCCATCTCAATGGATTTCGTCTTCGGGTTACCCAAAGACGCACGCGGGAATACGGGTATTCTCGTATTTGTTGACAGATTCAGCAAAATGGTACACCTTGTGGCTGTACCAGAGACAATCACGGCAAGTGGCTGTGCTTGTGTCTTTATTGACACCATCTTCCGACTTCATGGGTTGCCCCGTGAACTCGTATCAGACAGAGATCCACGATTCACTGCTGATTTCTGGCGTTCCGTGTTCAAATCACTCGGAACGCGCTTGAAGATGTCAACATCTGATCATCCAGAGTCAGATGGTCAGACGGAACGTGCCAATCGTGTCCTTGAAGAGATACTTCGAGGATACGTACACTCCTTTAAGAGTTGGAGTGAGTTTTTGCCGATGGTAGAGTTTGCCATCAACAACTCGGTGCATGCGTCCACGACACATACACCGTTTTACGTGAATGGCTTGCGCCATCCGCGTGTACCCACCTTACTAGAGTGTAACTCTGGTTTAAGGGGGGAGGGACTCGCGCGAGCAAAAACCGATTTGGTTCACGCTCATCACGCTCTGACGAAGAAGTCATTGCGTTTGATGCCGATATCGATAACATCGATATCGAAGAAGATGATGCCAGTGAGAGTGCGGAAGCCCTCACTGAAGACAATGATCCCAGTGAGAGTGCGGAAGCCCTCACTGAAGAAAAGGTTGTTGTCGCTGCAGTGCGCTCACAGCACACTGAAGCTAACGAGTCATCAGATGAGTTCATACTGGCTCGTGAAACGGTAGTCCGTTTTGTGCAAGACTCCATCGCCGAAGCGGTGGATAAGCAAAAGCAAAACGCTGACAAGAATGGAAGGGCAAACACTCTTTATTTAATAAAGGTGACTTAGTCCTACTGTCTACGGTTAATCTACCAAAACATGTAGTGACTAACTTGGGTAGCAGTAAACTACTACCCAAGTACATTGGTCCATTTCGTGTATTGCACCGCCTAGGCAATGCATACACGATCGAGTTACCACGTAAGATGCGAACGCATCCCACGTTTTACGTTGGTCGGCTTAAGCCGTACCATCAGTACGCTGCTTCTTCCGATGAAGAACGCCCTTGCGCTCAAGCATCTCGCAGAGAGCCTTGTGCTCCCGATGGTGGGCATCAACAAGGGTCTGAAGAGCAGTTATCTCAGCCCGAGACCGATCAACAATCCCACGAGCTACCCTTAGCTCGTCACGAAGAGATGTCAGAGATCTCTCGTTCTCAAGCTGAGCAAAGGCAAACTCAGCTCGATGCTTCGAGGCAGTGTCCACCATCTGGAGACGCCTATTCCGCTCATGCTCGAGATCGTCGCGTAACCCTTGCGTTACGCGATCAAAGAAGCTCTCGGGAACACACCGATCCACATGATCGTGTGGAGAGCGTCTTTCCTCCTCCTCCACCTCCATTAGAGGACTCTCGCGGTGGCCAGCGCTATCTAGTAGAGCAGCTGTTGAACCACCGCGACGTGAACGGACGTCGGACGAGTTACCTCGTCCGGTGGCGCGGCTATCCCCCGTCCTGGGATTCTTGGGAGCCCCGCTCCCAATTGATGGTTGACGTACTGGGTCTGGTCGAGCAGTACGACGCGACACATCCTGTGCCGCAGAAGGACCGCCGGAGAAAGTCTTCCCGGCACGGTCGTAAAGGGATTTCAGGTTGTCAATCCCTTCGTACATCTCAGTAGAGACACGTACGCGCCACCACGGGCTGGTAAGGAGGTAAGCCTCCTTAGGTGCTCGTGCAGAGTTGTTCACACAACATGGGCACGAGTCTCCCCAAGAGAGGCAGGGTAATCCTTTCTCCCTTGACAGACGATGCAGCTTATAGCGTGCACCTGTCGGGGTTCGCTTTTCAAACTTATCACGAGCTTTGATAAGTTTGTCGTTCCAAGCGTCACGACCTACATCCTCGAGATTATGGATGTAGGCGTTCCACGCCTGAAGTAGTGAGGGACCATCACGTTTGTGATTCCCACTGTACCATCGATGTCTGAAGAAAGCATCGATGAAGAACTCATGTTCAGCGCGATAGTCTTTCGCGCTGGGGTCAAGGTGATGAATCTCGACGAATCGAACAATCGTGCCTGATAACGATCACTCGTCGTCGCCGACAAGTGATCCATGACAGATTTAGGAGGCATCCATGCCTTTTCTGGAGCGAGACGCAACACATTGCGGTCCCGCTCTTCCTGCGACGTGCCGACAGAAGTACTGGCACTCGCTGTGAAGTGGTGTCCATTGGAGAAACGACACCACTATTAGCGCCCGAGTCTCGCGACCTCGAGCGCCTTCGTTGGCGATGGTTCATCTGACTCATCAGATGAACCAAAGATGCTGCGACGCAAAGCATCGTCCATGCCACGCTTGGCAGGCGGCTTGGATTCAATTGCCGTCGATACGGATCCGTCATCCGTATCAGGAGAGTACGAGACACCGAGCTCGTACTCTGTGAAGACACGAGTGTCTTCATGACCAGCGCCTGCATCACCAGGTGATACAGGCTGAGTCGATTCAGCAACCGATGGGACATCAGTTGCTGTAGTTTCTGCTTCGGCGTCCGCACAGAGACGTGCAGACGCGCTCTCGGCGGCCTTGCCTCGCGCATCGCATGGGCTTGTTTACCATGCGATGAGATGTTGGAAAGTGGACGCGGACCAACAAGTACAAACCCCGTCCCAAATGATTTGGGACGAGTATCCATTTAGTCAATCAGTCACTAAAGTGACTGATGGTTAAGGGGGGTGATGTAACGGGGTGAATCGTTACATAACAATTTATAAGAAATTGTTAATAGAATATAACTATAAGAGTTATATTCTCAGAATATTGTCATAAGGACAATATTCTGTAGCACTTCCAAGTAGTTCCTAATTGGTTGATATAGGCCATTATATCAACCAACGAAGACGCGCCACGACAGACGCACGCAATGAGTGGTGAGCAGATAACTGATTTACACATTTGTATTTAGACATAGTTAGATGAAGATAAATAGTGATTTATTGCAGACATTAACTATTATAAATACAGTTCTACTTTTTACTCTAACCAAGTACTCGCTTCTTCTTACCGTCTTCCTCTGCACGTACGAGTGTACGTGAAGTTACGAGGCACCGCCTTATTCTGTTATCAGAATAAGTAGCTTGTACTGTCACCAGTACAAGCTTCAGGGTGCCCCGTTACAAGTGTTCAATTTAGTAGTGATCACTAACGGTTTACCTATCTTGATCTTGGCGCCCCTACAACTTTCAGCTCTTGATACATTACTGCGACCGATTAGCAAAATAACTCCTTCTCTATCCACCTAGTAGCTTTGTCAAGAAACATCGATTTTGTAGTGACCCTCACGGTATAAGCATCATTTTTGTGTTCATCACGTCATACAAGCGTTGCTCGAGTTGTAACGGGAAATCGCTCACGTAACATTATCACTTTTGATTGTTCACAATGACCAATAGTATCTAATCGATAATATTGTCGACACTGCTTGTGAATGTGCTGTCACCAGGATATTCCATTGCAAGTATTATTCTGTTTGCCGAATTTTGAGGTTTTGCTCATTGGTCGGTATATGTCATTATGTCAGCGAAACAAGCCACCAACCGATGCTAGACGCTCGCACTCGGTATTTTGCAAGGGATCATCATCCGTATTGGTAGTTTACTATAATTCGAAAAGGACTAAAGACACAAACTTATCAGGACTCTGTTACATTTGTAACGGGGCACCCTTTGTTGGGGTGCCGCGAAACTTCACGTACACTAGCACGTGCAGAGGAAGCTAATCTACTTAAACGACTCGATCAAGTTGGGTAAAAACAGAAGTGTATCTAATGTAGTTAAGCTATCAATATATACTTCAGTCTTTATCGAACTATATTAAACTACGTCGTCGTATGACGACAACCTGCTCACCACTCATTGCGCGCGTCTAGCAGCGATTGGTGGTAGCCTACGGTTAGTGTGTTTTACAACAAACAATCTTTGAGCAGCGAATGAACATAATCGAAAAAGGGATAATATTCCTTCAGTATTATCCATCTCGGATAATATTGGTAGGATATTGTCATGCTAGACAATATTTTAATTGACACCGTTTGGCGTCAATATCATGTGACGGGCTACCCCGTTACATCATTCCCCCTTAACCATCAATCACCCGTTAATTGAATAGAATTGATTGGGACAGGGTGACCACCGTTGGATCACTCTGGGTAAGGGAGCACTTGTTGGTCGAATTCCATTCGTTTGCCAATCCAACGCGTGGTGTCGAAACCCAAGCGAGCTGCTACTGCAGCAGCAAGAATTGCGGCTGCCCGCATGCGTGCGGCCGCGAAAAGTGCCTCCCACGCCTCAGCAGCAGGCGATTCGTCGCCTGTCGTCGCGAGTCTTCCACGTGGTGAGTCACCACCTGCGACAGGTACATCCGTTGCGTCTGCAGCGGGTACCTCGAAACGTAACCAAGACGAGTCTGAGATAGAGCTCATCTATTCCGGCGAGTCGGATGATGCATCCGACTCGAAGGCGACTTCTCACACCTCGGGATCACCCGGGGCGGACACTGAAAGATCCAGGTCGACTGGATCTGGTCAACACGGCGGTATCATGCTCGAAGTCTTCGGATCGAGTGATTATTACGATGAGTCTCCGCCTCACGCAAGTCTATCCAACGATAGGACGCATGGGTTTGGTGGTGATGCACCTATGCATCATCACGAGCGATGTAGCTCAAAGAGGAACGGGATAACACTGGTGCCAGTGCTCATGCTGGCACCAATCAAGAGGCCAGGGACCGAAATGTCCTGCGCCACGCTCCTCAAGTGGAGTCTCCATGAATGCCGCCATCCAGAGTTGAACCGGTTGGCCAGCACGACTACCGAACGGGATCGAATCCCGTTGTTCGATTGTAGGAAGATTTGCCCTCCTGATTCCAGCACGGAAATTATCCGTGCTGAGGAAGAATTCTTCACCGATGCGTTCTTCAAACAACGGTGGTACAATGGTAGCCGTGTTCGGGACGGCAAAGCCTTGGTGCAGGGATGGAATGCCCTCATCCACAACATCGAGTGTATTGGCCGTGAGGCTTGGCTCGCCAAACTTGATGCAGCTCACATCAGGTTTGAGAAACGCGACCCCGTCGGGGCGCGATACAAGTTGCACCGGCTTTTAAAAGAGGCAGAATGACCATGTCTCTCGTGGGGTGATTCGTGTCCAGGTTGACTGGACAACTCGAACCGTGCCCCTAGGGAGGCCTACCTCCCTAATGATCCCTACTAGAGGGCGCGCATCTCTTCCGAGATGGCCGAAGGGATTGACGATTTGCAATTCCTGTACTTGCGTTCGGGGAGGTCATTTTCCGACGGCCCTTCTTCAAACGCAGCGGTTGGGTCTCAAAGTGCTGCTCGACGAGACCAAGGACATCAGCAATCAGCTGGGTACGAGACTCCCAGCTGTCCCACGCCGGTGGATAGCCCCGCCAGCGGACGAGGTAACTCGTCCGGAAGCCATTCACATCGCGGTGATTCAAAATACGCGCCACTAGGAAGCGTTGACCACCGCTTGAGTCCACCAAAGGATGTGGTGGCGTGGGATCACCTGATCCGGCTCGAGGGTCGGATCAGCTTGATGTTCAGGAGCTGAACCGTCTAACGGAACAGTTGCAAGATGACCTGGCTCATGAACGAACTCGGCGTTATGGACTTGATGATCTTGTAAGGGATAATTATAATTCCCCAACGCACGATCGTTCAGACGATCGTGCCGCTTTTGCGTTCGCGCAACTTGAGAACAAACGTTAGACTCGTTCTCTTCGTGATGAGCTGGCAGATGCTCGTCGAGATATCGCTGAACTGCGTGAACAGGTCTCTTTGCTACTCGACCAGACTGGCTCGTTGAAACGGTACCACTCGAAGGTTGTCTTGGCTCTCGACCGTGAAGGTGTTCTTCGCATCTCGAAACGGTCTCGCACTGATAGTACGGGCGGAGACGACCGACGTAAGTGTAGGATGCGTACGCATCTTACGGGGAAGTTCAATCGTGTATGCGTTGCCCATTAGGCGCAACACACGAAATGAAACGATGTACCTGGGCAGTAATTTACTGCTGACCACGTTTGTCACTGCGTGCTTCGGTAAGTTTATTGTAGACAGTAAAACTAGGTCTCCTTTATCAAATGAAAGAACATTCGCTCTTCCATGTTTGTCTGCGTTTCTCTTCTGTCTGTCTAATGCATCTGCAATAGAGTCTTGAACGAAGCGGACAACCGCTTCGCGAGTCAGTAGAAATTCCTCTGCTGATCCATCCTTGTCAACAGCAGTGCGCTTCATGTGCACTGCTGAAAGAACGTTGTCTTCACCAGTGAGGGTATCATCGTACTCAATTTGGCGGTCATTGGAGATGCTGAATACGCCAGCATCGTCGTCATCGTCATCATCGACATCGGTCCCATCGTCATCGTCATCATCGACATCGATCCCATCGACATCGATCTCATCGACATCGGCATCCATCACGTCACCACCACTGTCGGCGGGTGATGAGCGAGAACCATGTCGGTTTTCGTTCGAGCAAGTCTACCCCCCCCTTAAACTAGAGTCACACTCTAAGAAGGCGGGTAAACGTGGATGGCGTAGGCCATTCACGAAGAAAGGTGTATGCGTTGTAGACGCGTGCACCGAGTTGTTGATGGCGAATTTCCATCATCGGCAAGAACTCACTCCAGCTCGTGAACGAGTGGACATACCCTCGAAGCATCTCTTCGAGAACGCGATTGACGCGTTCCGTCTGACTATCTGTTTCTGGATGGTCAGAAGTCGACATCGTCAAACGTGTTCCAAGTGAACGGAACACGGATTGCCAGAACTCCGCTGTGAAGCGGGGGTCCTTATCGGACACGAGTTCACGGGGTAACCCGTGAAGTCGGAAGATATTATCGATGAAGACACGCGCACAGCCCTGAGCTGTGATTGACTCCAACACAGCCGCAAGATGTACCATCTTGCTTAACCGATCAACAAACACAAGAATAATATTATTCTTGTGAACGTCTTTGGGAAACCCGAAGACGAAGTCCATCGATATGGACTGCCAACACTCTGCCGGAATCGGAAGAGGCTGTAAGGGTGCGCGGGATAAAGGACTAGGCTTCACCCGTTGACAAAATTCGCAAGCGCGAATGTATTTCCGCACAAACTTATACTGGCGGGGTTAGTAGAAGTCACGACTCACCATGAGGTAAGTCTTTTCTCGACCGCGATGTCCACTCTTTGGGGCATCGTGACACTCATACATGATGCGCAATCGCAAATCATTATGAGCCGGAACGACGACACGAGGTGTGTCGCCGTTGACTGCTGTAAAGTACAGCAGTCCATCACGAACCGAATACCGTTCGGTTGAAGAGCAGTATTGAGATGACAAGCTTTTTAAAGCTTGATTACACGGATTGGATACGTAATCCATCAACCGCAGAAGAGACTCATCTTCTGTGTATGCTGTTCGCACGTCATCGAGCAGATTCGACGACGGAACACTCACTGTTAGTGTCGCGACAGTGGGATCACCCCTACTGTTGGGTTGAGCAGTCGGCTCGAAATCGGGCCGACGCGAAAGAGCATCAGCGACGACATTAAGTCGTCCTGGTTTAAACTCGACGGAGAAGTTGTACTCCGCTAAGAAAGACAGCCACCTCGCCATTCGTTGCGAGAGGTGTGGACTGTTTACGGCCGTGCGTAATGACGCACGGTCGGTATAAACGATGAAAAGCCTATCTCCTAAGAGATATACCCGAAACTTGGCCAGTGCATATTTCATGGTAAGAAGTTCCTTGTCATGAACTGGATAATTTTGCTCAGCTGCTTGCAACTGACGCGATTGATAACAGACAACGCGCTCAACGCCGTCTGAGTCGTACTGCGTTAACGCGCAGCCGATTGCAAAATCGCTGGCGTCTCATACCATATGGAATGGTACGTCCTGGTCTGCAATCGCCAACACAGGCGATTGCACCAAGCTTTTATCGATGCCTTTAAAAGAGTGCTGACACTCAGCGCTTCGCGACCACCTCTCGTTTTTCTTTAATCGACGAGAGAGATGTACAGTCATCTAGGCATTGTTGCGCGAGTATTTGTCAAATGTGCTGCCAAGCCAAGGAACTTTCGAAGTCCCTTGACGTCGACTGGCACAGGCCAATCGCTAATCGCCTTGATCTTTTCCGGATTGGGGCGTACACCGTTTTTACCCACGATGCAGCCAAGAAGTGGTATTTCGTTCGCTGCGAATATACACTTCTTGAGGTTCGCGAACAACTTATGCTCTCGCATTGGAGTAAAAACCTTCCGGGTATGGATTCTATGAACCCCCACGTCCGTCTTTCCATCCATAGCCCGGCTATGGACGAAGACATCGTCGAAGTAACTCGGTGCGAAGTCGCACACCGATCGCAACAGATTCGTAACACATCTGTTAAACGTTGCGGCGGCGTTACTTAGCCCCCGTGGCATCACTAGCCACTCCCAGAGCATACCACTGGGGGTGCTCACTGCTGTGTAAGGGATATCCCGTTCACGCATGAGGATTTGACTGAATTCATCCATCAAATCCATGAATGAAAAGATAGTTCTCTTTGCCATCTATACCATCTATGATGACATCCTTTCTAGGTATCGGCGTTTGAGCCGGTACCGTTGTAGCATTCAATTTGTTGAACGCGTGCACTATCCGCCACCCTCCTGTGGCCTTTCGCACACAGAAGGTCGGAGAGCTGTGTGGGGTGTTGATTCCCTCACATGACCAGCCGCTAAGCTATCGGCAAAGAATTTGTCGATCGCTGTGACCTGTTCACGAGGCAGTGGTCACTGCTTCATGCCACAGTATTTAGAACCAGGTTTCAGTTCGATCTCCTGCCGAGTGCCTTTGTCTTTGGGTAGCTCGCATGGCACGGATTCCGGGAAAACATCTCTGAATTCCACCAAATCCTTATACAAAGGATTTTTCGTCAAAGACTTCCAAGATTGAGACGCGTATCGCTCAATCCGGGTCTTCTCATCGAGGACAATCTCGTCCATAGATGAACCACTGAGAAACCGTTCGTTCTCAGCAAACACTTGTGCCGACTGAATATTGGCGACGTACTTGTCCTCTGTGACGAGTACGCAGATCTGCTTGATCTTGTCACTACGCAGATCTCGCAAGAATCTTTTAGATTGGCAACGTGACCACCTCCGAAGCTGACTTCGGGGGCGTCACCAGATCAAGTGTATAAGCGCCTACCCTTGATTGTCATTCACCAAGGCATTTACTGTCTCGGTGATTTCCTGGGAAAACACATCTGCAGGTGGTTGGGGATCCACACCCTCAACATAACTCTCTCGGGAGTTATCACTCTAAGAAACGCCGGAATTTTCTTCCGTTACGGGTACTATCAAGGTCACGTCCTCTTCGATCGACTCTCTTTCAGTCGAGCGGGCTTTTTCTACGATCGATTCTCTGATAGTCGATCTCGCTTCAACGTTTTGTCCATCCTGAACAACACTAGTCTCTCTTCTCAGATGCACCCTTCTTGGTGTGCATCCGTGTTCCAGTCCACTCGACCTCTTCGAGAGGTGAACCTTCGGCGCAGCCTGTGTATTTACACAGGTGCCGGAAGCTGGTTCCACAGTGCAGTGGCCTTCTACACTGTGATCTTGTGCAGTCGTACTAACGACCGTTCCACAATTGAGGCCATCGCACTCACTCGTAGTACATACACACGCTTGTGGACGCTCCAAGACGTTCATCAGATGGCTATTTGATGAACAAACGGCAGGCATCTTTACGCATCGGTGCTGCCAGCTAACCCATGGCCGGTACTTTCTAAGCCATGGTAGACCAAGGATGACATCACGTTTTTCATCCAAATCTAGTACGATAAAGTCATAATCATGCTGCTTTCCTTCTCGCGTGTAGTGGATTCCCACAACACGTTTGTTTACTGTTACGGATGCGCCTGTAGCAAGGCACACCGTCATCCTCGTCGGAGGGAACTCACGCTCAGCATAGTTGAGACTACTATCCCCTAGCGACTGGCGTCGAATAAAACTTCTCGAATCCCCACAGTCAAATAGGGCGCGAAGTGACATTCCACTCGTCACTTCGATCTTCAATGTGATGAGAGACTCCTCATCACTGGGGGCAGTAACACACAGCGACTGTGTGTTGGGAGCAATCTTCGTCAATAGTCCTGCAAATTTTCTTGACGTTGCTGGATCAGCAGGGTGCTTCGCACCTACTGACCCTGACCGTTTTTTGACGTTCCGACTTGCTGTCGCGGTCAAGCGACTTGGTCGTGCCCACGCCTTAAACCTTTCATTGGCCAACGGCGGTCATCACATCCTGTCTTTGGACGTGTTGCAGTGCTCGGGTCTCTGTACTCATGAGCGTAGTGTCCAATCTTCTGACAGCGATGGCATCTTGCCGTTCGCTTGTGACCCAGAGAGCGAGAGTTCTCGCTATCTGGGTCACTGTAACGGATGTCCATTGGTTTGGGACCTCCTGTTTCCTGTCGCCTCGTCGGACGATACTTGGACGAGTTAGCCTAAGACTGTCTCAGGCTGAAGTCTTCTTGTCTCGCATACGCTGTCGCCCTTTCCAGCGTATGGAAATCCTCTCGGAACATGTAGGTCTTCACCGGCCCATCCACAAGGCCGTAGGTGAACACGTTGATGAGCGTGTGCTCATCAACAGTGTTCTCCGTAACGCTACTTGTAAGGCAGCGCAGGTGCTGTGCGTAAGCGTGCACGTCACGCTTTCCTTGCTTTAGCCTCAAGAGTGCAGAGCGTGCTCTGGACTCGGCTCTCGGCGGCTCAAACGTCTCTTTGAGCCGATACTTCAAGATTTCCAACAGCTCAAACACGTTTGGGTCGTTTAGCTTTAGCCCTAAGGCCCAAGTCTTTGCTCGTCACTTCAAATTTGACAGGGCGAAGGTGACTTGCATCTCGTCAGCCTCGATGTGACGGACCCTGATGGCATCGTCTAACTCGACGAACCATCTCAAAAGGGAACCTCCATCGGTTCCCTTGTATCTTGAGATATCAATCTTCAAGGTTTTGGTTCGACGCATGTGCGTCGGCCCGCCCATTGACTGATGAGAGCCTTGTTGTTGCAGCAAGGCTACCTTCTGTCTTTCGACGGCATGTTCCCCTTGTAGGAACTTGTTGATAGCTGTATGTTGCTGGTCTCTGCTTAGATACTCCAACATTCCACTTATGGCGGGTTCGCCCATGAGCATACTCATGCGGTCGACTAACTCCCATTCTGAGTCACTCAGGTGGGAGTAGCTTTCACGTGTGACGTGAAAGCTGTCGTCTTCTGCGTCCAACATGATCGTGTTAGACGGACACTAGTCGTTGGATGGACTACAAAGTGCTATTATGTGTAACGAGGCAATCTTTGTTTGGGGTGCCGCGAAACTTCACGTACACTATTACGTGCAGAGGAAGCTAATTTACTCAAAGAGCTAGTTTGAGTAAAGGGTAAAAAGAGAAATGTATTTAGTATAGTTAAGCTATCAATATATACTTCAGTCTTTATCGAACTATATTAAACTACGTCGTCGTATGACGACAACCTGCCCACCACTCATTTCGCGTGTCTAGCAGCGATTGGTGGTAGCCTACGGTTAGTATGTTTTACAACAACCAATCTTTGAGCAGCAAATGTATATGATCCTAAAGGGATAATATTCCTTCAGCATTATCCATCTCGGATAATATTGGTAAAATATTGTCATGCTAGACAATATTCCTATTTACACCGTTTGGTGTAAATCATGTAACGGGATACCCCGTTACATTAATTGCAGTTGTACTTTTATTTGAATAGAAGTAAGCCTCTTCTCGTATTGTTAGCCCACCTCTGCTCGTACCGCGTACGTGAGGTTTCGGAGCACCTACTTCCGCACTGTCTTCAGTGAAGAGTATTGCCAGTTTTTAGTAAGCGTGTGACTTATTACAAACAAGACGTATCATCTTGCTGAACGGATCATAAATACAAGAATACCGCTGTTCTTGTAAGGTTCTTCGAAGAAAAAAAGGCGAAGTCCATTGAGAAGGACTCCCATCATTCTGTAGAAACCGCTCAATATTGTAATGGCACAGAAGTGAAGGGCTGGAGCTTAATCGTTACGAAAATTCGCAAGTACAAAGACTCCATAAAAATGCTCGGCATACCTTGATAAATATCTTTTACGTCCGTGATGCCCACCACCGGGTGAATGGTTAGACTAGTACATCATCCGCAAGCGGAGATTACCATGATTAAGAATGGAGACAGGAAGTGTGTCTTCAGCGACAGATAAATAGTAAAGTAAGTCGTTGCAGACTATTTTAGGAAAGTTCGGTACGCCTTCTACAGATGCTGTTATGTCGGTCGGGATAGCTGTGAGAGGTGTTACATTATACTTACAATCTCCACATTGTGAGAGCTTAATTTTCGCATTTCGTCAAATATTGTTCATCATAATGGCACGTACCATCGCGACAGTGTATGTCACAATTTTGGATTGTGTAGCCGGTTATAAATTTGTTCGACTGAAGAGTGCATCATTGACAACGTTCAGTCATCCTGATATTTTAATTTATGGAGAAGTAGCTCTCCGCAAAGAAATACAGCCAACTTGCCATCCTATGCGATAGGTGCGGGCTGTTTCAGGTCGTACGTAATGAAGCAGCGTCCGTACAGGCAGTAAAGGCTCAATGCTTAAATTAATAGAAACGAAAAGTAGCCACTGCATATTAAATGGCAAAACTGTATTATCTCAAACTGGATTATTACTGGTTTATTCGTTCGAAGTTAACGATCTAATCCGGACGAAGTGCTTCATCTCGGCATTGTAGTACTGTAATATTGCTAAGAATATTGCAAAATACCTTCACCTTGGACCAAATTAAACCAAAGTTCATTATAGTGGAGTGCGATCGATTGTTTTATCAGGCTATCTTCACTCTCTACTGGTGCACAAACAACCAACTATCGGAGGGGTAATCTGCAAAGGGCTTACACATTGCAGGGTACTTTGTATACTATGTCTTAGACACACGGGATGGTATTCCACTGAAAGCGATTTCGAATAACTTTTCGGTTTACTGGGACTGACGGGTGTCAGCCACAATATAGGAATGATCTTGCAGATATCAATTCGGGACATGAGTGCTTACATGTGCTAAAATTGCGCTTAATTTGTTCTATAGAGTTAATCGTAAATAATGTTCAGTTCCCCCTTTTTGATCTTGTCTAACACACGTGCCTTGCGAGGCGTCTTTGGTCGTAGATCGCTAAGATTTAGCAACGTCTCCCTAAGGTAGCTACTCTTGAGCATCAAGTGCTTTAGGCTCACTAAAATGTTCAATCCTCTGGAACAAGGACCTTAAGCTTTGCTCTTGTTAGCTCATAGAGCATTTTTTCTTCCAAGCTAAAATCGCTCTTTAAGTTTTAAGTTTAATCTGACTAAAGGAACTGTGCATCTTCGCTACTTACTCTGTTTCCGTGCCTTAAATTCTTTCCTCCTTTAGCGTGCCCATCGGCTGTGTGGACTGCACTCTTTTGGTAGACTCGTATCGAGTAAAAACTTCACCGTGTTTGGGTTGGGGTTTGTGATAGCGCGGAATTTTTCACACGGTCACGGGAATACTGGTGGCTTACTTGATGTAATTCATCCAGATCTCGACGAGATCTCCTTATCCACTGTGTGGATGCTTGGTACGCTAGCCTTCTGACCACCTGAGCCGTCTCACGATCTTTCGCCTTCTGCTTTATGTTTTTTCTGGATCCGATCGCAGTTAGGGAGGGTGAGAATTCTCGATACTCAGCCAATTATCTGGGGATATCACTTGATTTTAGTATGCACGATTTTCCTGACGTAGAGAGGTCAATATTCCAGCCTGGAAGAGAAGTCGAAACGTGTACTTAGAAGCGAATAAGATTCTGTTTAACGTTTGTCAACCAAAACATGAAGCTACCATTGCACATGTCTGTATACTAGGGTATGCCGCCACGTATCTTCTGCATTCCGTTGATCGTTTCTTCGCACATGTGTTCCACTCCAGATAGATGGTCGACCATGTTGATTGCACGTCATTCATTCTCGATATCCGATCATATGTCCAACCTTGATCACCTTATACATCTTCGATCTTGGTATCTTGATAATCTATCTTGGTATTTTAATACTCGATCTCAATATTGCGAATCTTAACGACCAATTGATCCTTCTCGACGATCAGTCGTCGATTACGATCAACCAACCCATCAATCACTTCGAATTTCTTTAAATTGTTTTGCCAAAGCTTTCCCTTGCGCTGATAACTGGCATACTGTGCTGGCATATCAGTGCAATCCATAATCCGTCTGATCAAATTATGCAGCTCTACATTCACCTGTATTGCCTACGTGAAGGAATCTGATGATCTGTCGATTTCTCGCATGAGTCCGTTTGACATTATACACCCTCATCGTTGGTCGTAATTCCACTACATCCTCCTCCATTTATTAAGCGGCCGGATGGACTACTTCCCTGCGGTCGATCGACGCAACTTGCGGTCGTATGTCGACAATCTCTACTACTGTGCTTAGGCCTGTCAACACTTGTTGGGCCATTACATCTCACTCCAAGACCACTTAAGAACTAAAGATCTTTGTGGATATCGCTTGGGAATCAATCTAAGCGACATCGGGACTTTGCTGGGCCGATCCGGCAATGCGTGAACCAGAGTTACAAAATTATGCGTGACACGTTACATTATCATGAGCAGAAAGCTGCTGAATTCCAGAAGGAATAAGCCGATTAAGAAAAATGTCTGCAAGAGATTTTCATCCTGAAGTCTGACATCTTGAAGCTGAAAGCGGCTGGCTGTGCACATTAGGAGAAACATCAAAGGCAGATGGCATTGCTTTAGAAAGATTTGACCTTGACAATAAGTTTCCCCATGCCAAGAAGTATATGTACCCCTTGTGGTTGAGCGAGATCGCCTGGTGTCCCACATTTTCGATCTCGCAGTTCGTTATCATTAACTTGTGCTAGAACTTGCCGATCGAGATACATTTCGAATTCGACAGAAAGTGAGGTGACTTAGCTGAAAACGAATTGCAATTAAGCACTTCACTCACAACGTTCCCGATTTACTTGCCTGGCCAAGGTGGTCGCCATAGTTTCTGTAAGTGCTCCCCTTTCGCCCGCTTAAAAAGTCCCGAGAAGAAATTTCTGCCTGAACAAAAAAAGACCGGATGTGTTTCCTTCAGGTTAGATGCGCAGGCGTCTCGGAAGACACTAATACCTCAAAAGATACGATCGGCTCCAGTCTTTTACGCGCCTGATAAACTGGCCTCCAAACGCATCTGTCGGACCCGATCGTCACCGGCCCGATCGGCGTCTCCTAATTCCATTTTTTCTTGATCTCCGTAGCCGGAGAAATTGGAGGTCAAAAAACGAGGTGATTATTCTTCTGCGGATACGGATGGCTTTGTTGATTCGCTAAAAGGACCCGACTATTTAGCGTGTAGAAATTGAATATTGAATTCTTACATTGCTACTTTTTAAATCCCAAAGAATACATATTTCCTGCCAACAGAATAAGATTAGATTTCCTCCGAAATATTTTTAATAGTCCCGGCTGATCGTCCACCAAGATCAAACAGTTCAACAATCAGCAACTGTGGTACGTGCATGATAATATCGTATGCCCTATCTCATTCAAGTCTTTTGGTTGATTTATAAACTGTGAGATACGTATAATGGTTCCGCGGATAGCATTCTACAAAATCTGTGGGAATTGCACATTCTTGTGAATATTCCTTTCGCGGAGTAAGTAGGATACCAAGTTGGTAAATATACGCGAAACATAGGCATAGACGATCTCGTGACAGCGCCCGACGGAAAAGAGTATTGCAGCTGATCCTAGAGGGAATAATCGACGGTCTTTTTTATCTATGCATCTGGCAGGATTCCATCCTCCTGCGCTTTACCGTCTAAAAGAGGTTTAGGTGTGGCATCCCGGCCTGCTCGCCCAGCGGGCCAACATACGCAACTTGATCACCTCTCTGTTGATTGATAGTGCTGACGAGCGTCAAGAGAACCAATATCGTACTTCGAAAGCCTCCGCCTTTGGTCTTATCTTTCACGTTCAGTTAACAAGTGCTTTGACCTTGCGAATTGTTTTGGTCTAGCTCCATAACGCAATCTCTCAAGAGTGCTTGCTCTCATTTCCATTCGGTCGCTACCACAATTTGCCTTTATGTATTATTTGTATGTTTTTCATTGTGATTGCACCATTCGGTCTGCGATCATCACACTCAATTAACATGAAATCCATTGTATTTACATTAAAA